TGGACAGGGCCGGGGGAGGGGCTGTAACAGCGCCCAGCAGGGACGCGGGCGGGGGCTCTATTCCGGGCGGGCGGGAGCCTTCCTGACGAGAGCCCCGGCTGGGTGGGGTCTCTAGTACGGGGCGGGGGCCTGCCCGCTGACAGCCCGGGCCAGGGCGGGGAGCGACACGGTCTCACCTGCGCCTCCGAGACCAAAAATATCAGCTTCGCCCGGTTGTTAAGGAGAGAAACGTGCTTGTCTTAGCAACCAGCGTCGGAAGTCCCGCCTCCCCCTTCCTCATTGGCTGGAATGGGGAGTTCGAAACATCGTATTGGTTCCAAGGCTTGTCGATGTCGTGAAAGGGTCCTTCAAGCCTGGGGTGAGAGGTGTCTTACTGCTGCCTGATTCACACGTGAGCCCAATGTGTTAGGAAAGGGACCCTCTATTAGTGGTTCAGGTTATTGATAGGGAAGTGTTCAGAGCCTACAGCAGGCACTAGTCCCTCAGCATCTCAGGATACAGCACAGTACCCTGCCAACACAGTGCCATCTTCATATCAAAGCACTGCCTGCAAGAACATAGGGCTATGCCAAGCTAGTGGTGTGCTACAGCATCACCCATGCCACACCTTGACACCGGGGTGCTGCGAGACCACTGCACCATGACTTCTATCCCATGGCAGCAGGGTGCTTCAAGCCTGCTACAACACCGTGCACTTATATGCCACCACATCACACATGCCATGACAGTATGACACAAGAAGCCAATCAACAGAATCTACAGCTTTAGGCAACACTTTGATCTGCCACCCCTCCATATCTGTTATGATGGAAGGGATTTGCCACCCTTGGCAGCTGCCTCACTTGCATATAGCTAGAGCAGTCTTTGCATGGCACTGTGAGACCTGCACACCATAACATTGCCAAGACATGGTCTAATCTACACCATGAAACTATGAGTCCTTTATACCACAAAGCTATCCATGCCATGGTACTGATACTGGCAATTCATAGTTTTGCCACATGCTGTCAAAAGATGGTCAGATTATCACTCTGGGGTACCAGCATGCCACAACAGCACTACCCACTCCACAATGCCTTCATGCTGTGGAACTATTCATGACAGTTCTATGCCACTGCCACTCGCTGACACCTTGTCTTCCTATGCAGATGTTACCTTGAGGTTCCATCCTTATTCATTAGTCCTTCCTTGCAACAAGATGATTGCATTAGTAGTACTGCTCCAAAGCCACTTCCTTCCCCGTTGGAGACTGAAAGCGTAATACTTTCAAGAGACAATTCTTCAAATAGATCATCACAGTTCTGGGTCTACTGGACGGCTTTATGAGCATTCCGAAGAAATTGCAGATTATTTGTGTTGGCTTTTCTTCTCATCTAAAAAAGAAATAGCCTAAAATTTGTGAGCAAGCCTTCAGCAGCATTGAGTTTTTAGAACTTCTCCTCACAAAATTGTTTGCATGGTTGCTATAGAGCAGGGGTCTCACACTCAATTTTCCTTAGTGCCAGTGCTAGTCCTCAAATCCTCCTACCGGGCATCTCCTCCAGCAGGGCTCTAAGGGCCAGGGGTCTCTCTGTGTTCCCCCCACGTATAGGGCATCTCCTCCTGCAGGGCTCTAAGGGCCGGGGGGTCTCTCTGTGTTCCCCCCACGTATCTCCTGACCCCTCCTGCTGGCCCACACACTCCCCCCATCCCCATACATGTTCCCACCCTACCTGCTGCCCCAGGGTTATTTAAAACCTGCCATGCCCCTCCCCACTGGCACTGCTAGCTCCATGCTGCTTCTGGTAGATTCTTGTGGCACAGTAGAGGTGTGTGCAGAGCCATCCTGTCCATAGGTGTAAACTGTGACACTATTAACTCATTTTGTGAAACTGACTAGATATTAGTGATGCCAACTCTCCTGATTTGATCACAAGCTTCCTGATAATTGGGGCTTCCCCCCTCCCCCGGAAAACTCCCACTATGTTATTAGAATTAAACCAATTCTAGGAACTTCACTACCTATGCCTCATGCACCTCTATCAACTGTGATCGCTCTAATTTAGTAGATTATACTTGTTTGTTGGTACACAATCTTAGAAGAGAATCCGAGCCTTCTCTTTCTTTTTTCCTTTTATATTTAAAGGAAGACTTCAAGTTTCATAGTTTGTGGAGAAAAGCTAGAAAACATGCCCCAAGTTCAACTAAAGACCTCAAATACCAGATGCCAAATAAAAAGATTCCCAAGTATATTTTTATCTGTGATTTCAAGAACCCAATCTCTTTTGGGGGACTGAGGGCGTAGCTGATTCATGAGTTTGGAACTCTTGGGATTGGTAATAGAGTACATGCAAGTTGATAGTGTCACCTCCTGTGTTCAGGAGCCCAGATACAGACCAGGAGCCTACTACAGACATGAAACTGAATCCTCACCCTGACACCCCTATGTCACCTGCACCTGGAATCCCACCTAGTCTGCTCCCCCCTGCTAACATCCACGTCTTCATGCTGGAATCCCCTGCCTGACTCCGGGGTAACCAAAAGCAAAACCCACCAGCCCCACCCTGCAAGTTGCAGAAGTGCATCAGTTTGGGGGAAGCTCCTTGGCTAGCACAGTTTGCATCACAGTGGAGGCAGTTAGCACAGCTTCCTGGATCAAGTGGCACCCTCTGGAGCCGGGACTACGTGGGTACTGGGTGCTGCTGGGAGTCCTGTGCATGGGTGAGTCTCTATGTGCAGCTTACCCGCCCTGGACCCAGGGCAGCCATGCGGGCCTGATTAAGTAATTTTTTCAAAATATTCCTCAGGCTGGATTGAGGATGTGCTCAAGCCACAGATGGCTTCTGGAAGTTGAGACCCCTGCTACAGATCATTCAGACTCTTTGCTGACCCTTGCATGAGTCTGAAGGCTACTTCAGTGATATTTGAGACTCTGATGTTATATACATCTTGAAATGGGATTTGAGAAAGGACTTATAGGAGGAGAAGGTGGAAGAGTGCAGATAGTGTGAAGGAGTGGTTTCCAGACATAAGGGGCCACATGGAAGAGCACACATAGGTGGGCATGGGAGAAGAACATGAAAAATGTAGACACTCCCTGTCGCTCTCGCCTCCCTCTCATGCCAGTCTGATGGGCTGAAAGTTATAATGGCACAGTGTTGCATCATGGTCCTTTAGGATGGGGTTTCTGAACTCATAAGTCATGACCCAAAATTAAGTCACAAGAATGTGTCACAAGATTGCATGGGAGGTCAGAGGGCTCTGTCCCAGGGGCAGGGAGGCCTTGCTAAACACCGTGCTTTCCACTCACCTTGCAGTAGTGGGTTCAACATTTTCAGACCTGCAGACCTAGCTGGGCTTCACTCCCTGCTCTGGGCATTGTGACTTCATCCATGGTGTCATGGTGCTGCTCAGGTTTGGCCCAGCCACCTTTCCACCATGATGGTGCCAGTCCAAATTTGAGTGAATGGCAGTGCCTCTCTGTGTGCCAGGTCACAAATGCCCCTTTTATAAATTTGGTCTTGGCAACCACTCCCATCCCCCTTAGGGGAGCCAGGCCATATCTGAGCACCACGGTGATCCCAGAGGTCACTACACACAGTAGGAGCCAAGCCCAACCAGCCTCATGGGACAGAATTGCCGCTGTGGTGTGCTTATTTAATATGTATTACTTGAAAATGTATATTATATATTGTGGATAAGAAAAGAATTTTTTGCAGTAAAACTATTTACTGGGTTGCCACAGGCCATCAAGGTTTGGGTCACAAAAGGTCTGAGCCACAGAAGGTTGTGAACGAATATTTTAGGGCTTGTCTACACTTAAAAGT